AAAAAAAAATGTGATGATTAGGGTGTGAATAAAAAACTAGCAATATTTATAGCACTATAACAAGATTCATCGTGATCCACTAAAAACAAATGGCCAGAAGTGACTTTTTAAAGGGGCTGAGGGGTGAAAAACAGTGTTAAAGTTAAATGAAAAATTATTATAACCTCCTCACTAACCTAAAAATACAAATAAATTTTCAAAATTTTTAAAATTAAAACTTTCCGAAACGTGACGGAACTTTCGAAAGTAATCCGGACGCTGTTAAAAGCTTTTGACTTGATCCTTACCTTTAGTAATGCTTCTTCATATTTTTCATTGAGCTGAGAAAGCAGATCTTCTTTGTCCTTGAATTCTGAAAACATTATTCCAAGATATAAAAACAATTCACACATGGTTCTAGTCATTTGTATACCGTACTCGACCGCGTTAGCGCCCATGCCCGGGCAAGCGCCCACCCCCCACTTTTGCGCAATTTTTATATTTGGGGTCACATTTGGCAAAGCGCCCACCCCTTCAAAATGCAACTAATTTAAAACTTGGTCTTGCGTAACGAATCTTGGTAATCGTTTTTATATGATACAGCGTGGATATCGACTGCTGTGAACATGTTGTTAATGCGTAGAACACGGTAATCATGCGTAACTACGCTTCGACAATGACCTGTTAATACAAGTAAAATGCGTTAAATATACTTTCTCTAATACTTAAAAATGCTGTGCAAAATAGAAGGTCACCTTGGGTTTGAACTTTCTTCTCAATTTCCTGTCTTCTCATTTTCAGGTCAACTGATAGTCTTTCTGCTTCAATTTTCTTATTATCACTGGAATTTTTGTGGATCTGTTTCTTGATCACTTCTCTACTTTTATCTACCATTAAATTACCACGAATCAACGCTTGGGAATTATTTCTTTTAATTGTCCTTTTTGGTTTCAGTTTCTTTGGTTCTGTAAGAAAAAATTTAAATTCATGTATATTTTATAATTAACTTTGATCACTTTCCATAACATAAACTTGTAACCACTCTACTCATAAAGTATTCATGTCCTGTATGTTGACTCACCATCTGTATCATGTTGCTTCATTCGTAGTTCTTGTTCTTTTTCCATTTTATCATCTTTATCTTTCTGCTGTTCCTTCCAGTATAACTGTTGTAAATCTTGCATTAGTGAACTCACAGGGGGGTGATGTTCTTTTTCCTCATTCACTCTACAACATAAATCACATGTATGAGTGGAGACTGGTCATTATGACCAACACTAATGTGCATTGACTTCTACTCTAGTGCCTCATTCAACCACCATTTGGTATGGTATTTCGCTTTGGTATTATGTTTGGTATAGTAATATGTTAGGTATGGTATTATGTTTGATACAGTATTATGTTAGGTATGGTATTATGTTTGATACAGAATTATGTTAGGTATGGTATTATGTTTGATACAGTATTATGTTTGGTACGATATTATGTTTGATACAGTATTATGATTGGTATGGTATTATGTTCGATATGTTTGGTATGATATGATATTATGTTTGATACAGTATTATGTTTGGTATTGTATTATGTTTGATACAGTATTATGTTAGGTATGGTATTATGTTTGATACAGTATTATGTTAGGTATGGTATTATGTTTGACACAGTATTATGTTTGGTATGGTATTATGTTTGGTACGATATTATGTCAGGTATGGTATTATGTTTGATAAAGTATTATGTCTGGTACGATATTATGTTTGATACAGTATTATGATTGGTATGGTATTATGTTCGATACGTTTGGTACGATATTATGTTTGATACAGTATTATGTTTGGTATGGTATTATGTTTGATACAGTATTATTATTGGTATGGTATTATGTTCGATACGTTTGGTATGATATGTTATGTTTGATACAGTATTATGTTTGGTATTGTATTATGTTTGATACAGTATTATGTTAGGTATGGTATTATGTTTGATACAGTATTATGTTAGGTATGGTATTATGTTTGATACAGTATTATGTTTGGTATGGTATTATGTTTGGTACGATATTATGTCAGGTATAGTATTATGTTTGATACAGTATTATGTCTGGTACGATATTATGTTTGATACAGTATTATGATTAGTATGGTATTATGTTTGGTACGATATTATGTATGATACAGTATTAAGTTTGGTATCGTATTATGTTTGGTACAATAATAAGTTTGAAATGGTATAGTGTTTGATACAGTACTATGTTTGGTATTTATCATAGCTTTTTTTGGTTGCTCACAGTAATTCTAGATCTCAAACTCACACCAGATCAATGAGTGTACTATTACTTACAAGATAAGTTCTTTTAT